TTTGCCAAGGAGTGACTCCAAACCAATCCTGCCATGCCACTCTTGTCCATCCCCCACTCCATGCTGGCTAACGGCACAGAACATTTCTGAGAATAATCTGTGTCCCACTCACCAAGCTGCTGCCTTTGGCCTAGCGAGAGGGGCTTCCATGAGGCTGTGCAGAGCTTGATAGGGATCCCCTGCTGTCGGGAGAGTCCCCTGAGGAGCTGGTGTGTGACGGTCAGCGCAGTGGCTGGGGCTGCCTGCTTGGAGCACAGAGCAAGGAGAGGCGCCCTGCGGCTGTAGCCCAGCATCAGAGCGCGGGGGGAATGTCTCAAAAGCACTGAGACAAGCCCAAGAAGACTGGAGTGCAGAGGGCTCACCTGCGTGGAGGTGCAGTGAGCAGTGAAGATGCGGGGAATCAAACACTCCCATGAGCACCTACTCCAGGGAGGGGAATGGTGCCAGATACCACCAGCCACTGCTCCTGCCCCTCCTTGTCCTGCACCGGTTCCCCACCCAATGGTGCTGGGGTAGCCTGGGGGTGGGGGCACGGAGCATGCCCAGAGGAGGGTCATGGAGATAATGCTGACCATGCTCTCCTTTGCCAGCCACAGGTTTCCATGTCTCAGAGGGTGGAGGGGAGCAGCTACAGCTTCCAATGAACTTGGAGTCTCAACTATTTTCATAACTACACATTGTAATTCTTGAAATTGGACTTCTGTGCCTAAAAGTGTCTCCAGGAATTTTTACGATCTACAATGAATTCCCTGTCTCCTCCCCGCCCCCCCGCCCCAAACACACACACACACACACACACACACAAAACAAACAAACAAACAAACAAAAAAAACACCAAGAAATCTACCTTAGATTTCATTCAAGGCTGGGTGAGAACCATCCCCACGGAACAGGTTGTGAAAAGGAAGTGGGAAGAATTAAGTTGTTTTCTGATCACAAGGTACTCTGGCTCTAAAACTGTGGCTTAAGTAACAGGAAGCATTCTGGCTAACCCAGGAGGAAAGGCGCTATTGACAGGACACTGGGGAGCTCAGAGAACCCCCGCTGGGCTGGAGAAACAGCCTCAGCAATTGGGGGCGAGGAGGGGAACCAATGACTCAATGAATCTACCAACTCTAGGAAAGGTGCCCCCACCGCCTTCTGCCCACAGGATGCTGGGTGACTCCGTCTTTGTGGTGCCCCATTCCGTGTATTCACAGAAATGTTAGGCGGCCGCCGCTATCTCCCATCAAAGCCCCATCATAGGGAAGACCCCAAATACAGGGCCCTGGTGCAGGCAAAAATGAACATCTACTAAAAGGGTGAACCATTCATTGGTTGAGCTTAAAACTGTAGTTTACCCCAAAATGACCAAGATGACATTTTCTGCCACCAGACTAAATGGGGATTTGAAAAATAGGTTTCTATACAAAATAGATTATTATAGAAAAATAAGTTTTTGCATGCCTGAGTGTGTGATTATGAAATGCACACCTATCTTAGAGACAATGTAAGACATAAACAAAGTAAATCAATGAAAGCCCCGGGCATATGCTTAAAAAGTGTGGGTCCCCATCGGTAAATGTTGGACCAGGATGCCCCTCCCTCCCAGCCCCATTGGCACACTGCTACCCACATCCTTCTCAGCCCTGGCCTCAGTGGGGCTGGGCCCGACATGTCACTTCCAGGGAAAAGGCTCCTTTTAGAGTTAGTCCACCACCGTTAAGCAGCACACCGGTGGCCAGTGGCAGAGTCCAGGTCCCTGGACCTCCAGATGAGGGCCCTGCTCCCTCCGGGGACACTGAATACATTGCTTCCCCATAAGGGCACCTCCTGTGGGAATGGTGGCCCTTCCTCCTTCTCCAGCAACAGCTGGTGGTGCCTAGAGCCCACCTGGGCGAACAGGGGCCAACCCACCATTCCCTCCCTTAGCATTTACTGAAGCTCTCAGGTCCCTGATAAGATTTCAACACCCGTGGGTGGCAACTCCTTCAGGCAGAGTTGAGAACGGTTTCCATGGAGACTGCCCAGGCTCCAGTTCCCATAGCAACATCCACAGTCGGTTACAGAGCCTCCTATTTATGTCAACTTAACATTTGCAACTGCTCTATTTTTTCAGGCCAAACCTGGGCCTAATATAGGGCTTCCTGTCTAGGATCAGTGACAGACCACAAGGGCCAGAGGCGAACTGGGTGACTCTGTGCCATTAGCTGACAGTGAGGATATTGCCTCAGCCAGCAGGCCTCCTCCATCCTGGCTGCAGGGCACACATGTACACGGAGACATACACACACTTAGACTATAAAGAGAATGCATCTTCTCCACAGGAGAGATAGAGGCCTCCAGATCCCTGCCCTCCAGACATGGCTGTTACATGGTTTGGAGTATCCTTCCAGAAGCAGTACATGCACATCCATAGAGCTATCTTTCAGAAAATTCACAAATGGGATATATATTTTATTCTTGCTCTGCCAACTACTCTACCCTTATATGTTTCTTTAATTGGATTTAGAGAGAGAGAGGGAGAGGGAGAGGAAGAAACATTGATGTGAGAAACATCAGTTGGTTTTCTCCTTTATGCACCTGGACTGGGGATTGAACCTAAAACCTGGGTATGTGCCCTGACCAGGAATTGGAACTGGTGACCTTTCAGTGCATGGGACAAATGATCAACCAACTGAGCCACATTGGTCTGCACTTACCCTAATCACAGGTCTTGGAGAACTCTGCACATCAGCACAAATTTGAGATACTTCAGTGTTTGTAATGGCAACAAAATATGCACTTTAAAAACAAGTCCCCAGATGAGGGAGTTTTGTTTTTAGTTTCTTGCTGTTACAACAATAAATATCCTTGTACCCACTTACATTTCTGTAAACTTGTTTGAATATATCCATAGGATAAACTCTTAACAGTGAAATTGTTGGGTCAAACCCATTGCATTTTAAAATTTGACTCTTGTCACCAAAGAGGGCTTATACCAAGTACATACTTGAGAAGACTGGGTATTATTAAACTTACACCAAACCAAACCACAAAACCAGTCTCCCCAACTTATTCTAATAACACAAAGGCCTGTAAAGGAGAGTGTGAGAAAGGGAAATTACAGGCCAACCTTACTAATAAACATGCATCCAAAACTGCTGAAGAAAACATCAGCAAACAAAGCCCAATAGTATAGAAACAAGAGAACACATCATGACCAAATGAGTTACTGTTATTCCCCACATTAACAAGTTAAAGGGGAAAAACATGTGATCATATCAATAAAGAAAAAACACTTGATAAAAGAATTAAACACCCATCCCTCATTAAAGATGAAAACTAGAAATAGGAGACAACTGCTTTAACCTTAAGAAGAGTATTTTCCAATATCTAAAACTATATGCAAGGCGAATTCTCTTTAAAATCAAGAACAAGCCAAGATTTGTGATTATCACCATGGTACGAGAGGTCCTCGTCAGTGAGACAGGTTAAGAAAAAGAAATAAAAGTTTTAGTTATTTGAATTAAAGAAATAAAATATATTGTGCTTCACAACTTACACACTAGTGATTACAGATAACATTTTTTCTTTGTTTTGCTATATAAATATGAATCCTCCCTGCAAAAATGTGTCTCCCTTTTTGTTTCATATTTTATAATAATAAAACATCTTTTCATGTTTAGCTATGATCCATTTGTATTTCTCTGTGAGCTGCCTATTTATATTCTTTGCCTTTTTATGTACCGAGTTGTTCATTTTTCATGATTTTAAGAACTTGGCATATTAGGGAAAATAGCCCTTTTTATGTCCTATGTTTCAACATCTCCCCCCAGTTTGCAGCTTATTAATCTTTTGCCTTGGTGTTTTGCTCTATGTAAGTTCTAATCTTTCATAATTCAAGTTATTGATAGATGTCCCATTTAGAAAGGTCTTTCCTCCTCCCAGATTATCTTTTAAATCATTTCAAATACTTTCATGGTTTCAGTTCATACTCAAAACCTTTGCTCCATCTAGCAGGCGGGCCACATGCGGCCCGCAGAGGAGTCTGATCCGGCCCACCAGGTTTTTTGGGCAGTGAGCGCAGCCGAGGTGTTACAGTAGGAATTAGTTCATATAGTCCGGCCCTCCAGCTCTCTGAGGGACTGTGATCTGGCCCCCACTTTAAAAAGTTTGAGGACGCCTGATCTAGGATTTTGTTGCAAGTAAGTAGGATCCTGGTTAATTATTGTCAAAACAGTTACCCAGTTGTCCCACTAAAATTCACGTCCCCCCTAAATTTTCTTGAATGTAAGTTAACTTCCAGGCCTCCACCACATCCATTCCCTTTGCTACAGCGAACTCTTTAATTGTAGTTTATAATGCTTAATATCTGAGGCTATTCTCCATGCATACTTTCCTAAAAGAACTGAAAGTCAAGTTAAAAAAATAAACTGTTGGCATTTTAATTGATTGGATTTAGACTGATTTCATTGCAAGATTTAGAACAAGGCGTGTCTGTACTAACCTGAGCCTTTTATGCCCCTCCCAGGATTACTGAGCCTGACTGGGACCTATAGCGAAGGTACCTGTCCTCATCCCACCGCTGGGCTCATCCGGTCAAGGTTCTGGGCAGCTCTCCCTCTTCCTTCTTTGCAGAACGTGGACCTGACTCATGCCAATCTCAGCTCAGCCCCACCAACCTGGTTATTTAATGCCCAGAAATCGTGGAGAATACGTCAGTGCCCTTGTGCTTCAGGACAAGCAATGATGATGTCATCTTCCGGGGTGGTTCAGAGGCACTTAGAAGCAGCATAACCTTGGGCAGGTTGTGCAAGCCCTCAGAGCCCCCTCACATGTAAAACGTGAATCTGCCTGGCTTATGAGGGGACATCTACGGTCCTGGGCTGGACCAGGGAACTGGCCCACCTCTGCAGGGATCAGACGCCTAAGCCTGCTGGCTGCCCCGGCCTACTCCCCCACCCCATCCCCTGCCACTCTGCCCCCAGGCTGTAGCACCCCTGCCTTGCCCACCCCCACCTGCCACTTTCGAGTCAAAGTCAGAAGTCAAGGAATTTTATTGTTCTACAGACACTTCTGAAAAGAAATCTAAGTGAGAAAATATACAAAGCGTTTAAGAGTTTCATCTCCAGGGAGCACTTAAGCCTGACTGGAGGCGTTGAAGCCTCCTCTTCAAGGCTCGGGGCTCAGAGCGGTTAGCATATGGAATGATCAGTAAAACATGCAAAAGTGAGGAGGAAAAGGAAAAATGGTGCATCCCCCAAAGCAGAGGGGCACGGATTTCAGAACGAGGAGCAGGGTGTGCAGGTACCAGGTGCTCTCCCTCCCCTCCACATTATCTTCTGCAACAGCCCGAAGCGTGGAGGAAGCCAGGAGCCCCGCCCACTCGGCATGCTCAGACCCACAGCGACAAAAGCCACCCTCCTATGCCCTGTTCTGGCATGGCTGTGGCTGTGGGGCTCTGCCATACTCCTGGGGGGGCCCTGGCTCCTCCCTCTTTGGTTCCACTCAGAGAACGATTGTGCTTGACAAACTCATCCCCACCCCCAAGCTCCAGGCTCCCTCTGGTGGGCCGAAGGCACTGACAGGAGTCCGGGGAGGCCCCCAGGACAACAACCTTCCCTTGTGCTCCGGTGGGTCCATCCCTGGCACAGTCCACCATCCTCAGCCCAGACCCGGGGCTGGGACCCGGGAGCAAGTGTGCCATCCAAGGAAAAAGCCTTTGGGACTTCCCCCACAGTGCAGACATTTCTGAACCCCACTCCACACCCCTCCCACACCCTATCCCTTAGCCCAGGACCCCCACAGGCCCAGCCCCTCCATCCAGTCCTCCCCACAGGACCCAACTTTAAGATGGTGGTCACAGAAACCATCTCAGGGCGCCCTCTGTGTCCCCCAGGCTCAGGACGGCAGCAGAGGTGAGGGCCTTGAGAGGTCCTGGCTCTGGTACAGGGAGGTGGGCAGGGCTGGACGGGATGGGGAGGCACGTTACATCTACGGAATGGCCTTCAAAGTACAAGCTAAGAGAGGGGAAGGAGGAAGGCCAGAGAGGGGCAGGAAGAGAAACGAGGAGAGGCAGGGGTGGGGCTGGGAGGGCGGGGAGGCCTCACACCGCCCCGCAGATGAGCGTCTCCACCACGAAGGTGTTCTCGAAGTGGCGGATGGCGTTGCAGTTCTTGGCCCCACGCTTGTTGATTCCTGCGCGGAACAGAGAATTCCCAGTGAGGCCGTGTCCTGGCCCAGAACTGGCTGGGCTACAAAGCCACCAGCCTCAGAGCCTGAGGGGACCGGAAGGGAGGGGCAGGCAGCCCAGGAAAACAAACCCAAGTTCATCCCAGGCAGTGCAGTAAAATGCTGAGCACTCAGGAGCTGGCATCACGGCCAGCATGGCCTCCCTCCTGCTGTGTGACTTTAGACTCTAAAGTTTAGAGGGATTAACTAACTTCTCAGAGCCTCCGTTTCCTCACCTTTAAAGGGGGCAGCAATAATGATGATGATGATGATAACTTTAAGGACATAAAGAGCGTTTAAGTAAAATGCGTGGTATGTACTAAGTGCTCAATTAACATTTATTGCTGCTGCCATCTGAGCTGTCTGACGCTGGTCTCCAGCTCTGGGGCCGGCACGCTGGGTCTGGGACAGGCCTGGGGTGGAGCCCGGGCAGGGGCCACTCACGCCTCCGAGTTGCCCGGCGCCGCAGCCGGTAGGTGTCCTTCCCGTTGCACAGGTGGTAGATGAAGGAGCCCAGGGTCTCCTTGTCGTTGACGTGCTCTGTGACCACCATCTCCTCCTGGATGATGTACGTCTGCGGCAGGTAGGTGCCTCTCTGCAAAGGGAGTGGCCACAGCTCTGGTCGGCACAAGGGCTCCCCTCCCGTGGTCTCCACTAGCTCACTGCCCGCTCCCCCGTCGCCACCCTTCTGCGCACGCGAGCTGTGTCCCCCAACACTCACATGCACACATGCCCCCTCCCTCATTCAGAGGCTCCACAGCGTGGCCTTCCAATGCCCCAGGCACGTGCTGCTGGGCTATGTACTGCCACTGGCGCTGCCCTGAGTTCTGCGTGTGGGAGTCTGGCCTCGCACCCTGAGGGCAGGGCCTCCGCATCTCCCTGCACTGTGACTGGGCACGGAGTGGGGCCCGGGCTGGGGTACGCAGTGAGGTACAGAGTGGGGTATGGGCGGGGGCACAGAGTGAGGACGTGGAACCTCCCTCGCGCCAGGCCTGGCTCCACAGGGAGGGACAAGATACGGCCAAAACCCCATTCACCTTCACGTTCATGAGGAGCTCCCAGAAGTTGCGAGGGGGCAGCACAATGGTGGTGTTGAGCTCGATGACATAGCACTTGTCCAGGGAGATGTCATGGTAGGCGGTCAGGCCCTGGGGAGAAGGAGGGGGCCATGTCAGGCCCTGCAGGTGAGGGCCTCGCCCTTGGGGGAGGGGGAGCTAGGAGAGGCCTCTGGCTAGCAAAGGCAGAAACCCCACCCCGCCATGGGGATACACCCCTTTTTCCTGCTCCTCTCCCAGCCTGTGTTTCATTTATTAGATGCAAGACACCCAGTGTGAAACCCTTCAGTGTCACAGGGCTCTTCTCCTGGGTGACAGAGCTGAGGTGTGGGAAACAGTGATGTCCCGACTGCATGCTATCAAAGCTGGGAGGCCCACTTCTGTGGACCCTCAGGGAGAAACCCCGATCCCGGGCCCTCCTTGTGCTGCACCTCGATGAACGTGGCACAGGAATGGGCGATAAAAGGGGACGCCCTGACCCACGAAGCCCGGTCTGCAGCCGCAGGTGGCGGGGGAGAACCCGTGGCTCATTCATTCAGAGGTAACTGCGTCCCCCACGCAGGGATGGCAGAAGTGGGCTCAGTTGTTCGTATGAAAATGATACCATTACTAACGAGTAATACAAAAACTTCGTGCTTTGTATATTCGCAGCTATAAACTTAACTTTAGCACCTGGCATAATGAAAGCAATGTCTAGAAAACCCCAACAAAGCTAAGCCGTAGTCAGCCATGCCCTGCACACAGCTGATATCACTCTGTCTATAGTCAAAGGATGTACTAGGGCTGCCAGCATCCTCCTTTCACATCTGTTCTTCCTCGTGACTCCTGGAAGGGGGCTTCGGCCCCCGGGCGCCCCTCTTCCCGCCCGGCCCAGCCTCAGCCCCCGCTGGCCTCACCCGCTGGAAGTCGTGGATGATGTCGGCAGGGTCGCCGCCACCAAACTGGGGCACCGGCACGTTGATGCGCTCGTAGTTATCCTCGAGGTAAATCTTCACGTCCTCCTCCAGCTCCATCCGCGTGTGGGCCTGGGAGGTCAGGGTGTCCTCGTAGAAGACGCCGCAGTGGAAGAAGTTGTCCCGAGCCAGCTGAGAAGGTGGGGAGAGACTGGTCACGCCGTGCCCTGGGCACGGCCACCACCACCTCCCAACCACTTCACTCTCTTAAGGCCGGAGGACACAGGAAGGGTGGGACTGTGGGACCCGTTTCACAGATGGAGAAACTGAGGAACGTGGGGAGTCAGGGAGGGTGAGCTGGGCCAACCATTTCCTAGGCAGGTGACCTCTCCGGGCCTCAGTTTCCCCATTTGTAAAATGAGGTGCTCCCTCAGGCTTCTTCTGACCTCGGGTGCATGGGTCTGTGCTTGGGAAATGGGGTGGACCAGCACGGGGAGGACCCAGAGGGACAGACACCTGAGAAAGAGCCTGGGGTGAGCAGGAGGGTCCTCAGGGGCAGACATAGGAGCTTGCACTGAATCAGCTGGGCTCTGGGGGCAGGCAGCACCCTACACCGCCACCTGCTGTGGGGCCCTGAAGACCTGGGGGCAGAGTGGGGGCGGGGAGGAGCCGAGAGGCAGCCCTTGTGATTCCGGTTCCATGTCCAGCCTCACACAAGCCCCCACCTTCCCTGAGCCCCATGCCTCATGAGAAACCTTGGCAAACGCTGTTTTCTCTGAGTGGCCGGCCTCGTCACTCCATCATAAGGAAAGGGAGCCAGCCAATGTGGCTCAGTGATTGAGCATCGGCCTAAGTACCAGGAGGTCACGGTTTGATTCCCAGCTAGGGAACATGCCTGGGTTGTGGGCGTGATCCCCAGTGTGGGGTGTGCAGGAGGCAGCCAATCAATGAGTCTCTCTCATCATTGATCTCTCTTCCTCTCCGTCCTCTCTGAAATCAATAAAAGTATATTTTAATAAAATAAGGGGAGGGAGGCAGTGTGACATGATCGAGGCCAGGGACCAACCGGGTGGGCCCACTGGTAATTCTCCAGGGGCTCCTCCATCTGTGCCCGGACAGCTGGCCTGAACTGGGCAGGGCTTTCCTGCTGTCTCTGTGCGAGCCAGCTCCAGGAGGGGTGAGCACGCATGAATCACAGGGTCCCAGGGCACTGACGGAGGGTAGTCTGAGGTGCCCCAGGCCCTGGGTATCGTGGCGGGTGAGGAACCCTGGAGTGGGAGCGGGGACTGGGAAGAGAGGGGCCAGGAGCCAGAGTGGGTGGAGGAGAGGGCTGTGGCCACGAAGGAAAAGGCCCCCGGGTCCGCTCAGGAAAGTGAGAACCAGGGGAAGGTGGGGAATAGGCCTTGAGGGGAGGGAGGACAAAAGGGGAAGTCAGCGGGTTCCAGGGGGAAACTCCCAAGGAACAGAAACTCTTCAGTGACTCCCCTTATGGGAAACTTGAGTGAAGACCGAGGTAAAGGCCAATGCTTAAGTGTGGGAGAGGTCACTGGGGTCATAAATGACGGGCAGCCTTTTCATCCCTCCGAGATTCCTCATTTGTTGTGCTTGAGGTTCTTCTTTTGAGCTATCTTCAGCTCTGAGTTCGAGGGGCACTGCCTCCCTCCCCAGGTCATGGCTGATCACAAGGTCACTGTGACCGTGAACAGTTCAGGCCTCGCTGAAGCCCAGCCTGGCTGCAGGAGCAGATCGCTGGGGGTGGGCCAGCTGGGGGTGGTGAGTGGGTGTCTCCACTCACCTATGTCCAAACATAAAACTGGATGGAATTTCTTAAAGCGTGACCCTTGGGCACAGGGTTTGAGGGATCAGAGTTCTGATTTGTGCTCGGTCTGGGTTTCTGGTGACAACAGCCCAGGGTGACTCTGTGGGAAGGGGCCTCGGCCACAGGCCCAGGTTCTAATCCCGGCTTCCCCACGCTGACTGCACTCCTGGGAGAGTTTCCTGTTGACCTCAGGTGTGTCTGAGGAAATGGGTAAGGACTCTCGTCCAGGGTCTGTAGGCATTAGAGGACAGGCCCAGGCCTGGCTCCTGGACCAGAGCGAGGCTCCCAAGATGAGGGGCTAAGGGTGAGCTGACTGAGCCCAAGGACGTTCCGGGGAGGATGAGGGGGCAGGTCTTCTGGGCCAGCCTGGGCACTCCTCCCATCTGGGGTCATGCCCAGGGCGTCCCGCTCCTCCTCTTCACAAACCCCAAGCACCTGGCTCCCAACTGCTCATGCTGCCTTCTCCTGCTAGCTCCCACATCTGCTGCAAACTCCCACACTCCCCTTTCTGAGTGCTCCCCACCCCTTCCCCCCCGCCCCCGCCAGCCTCACCTGAGCAAGGAAGAAGTATCTGTAGATGTAGACGGAGGCGAACACGAGGCCCATGAGCAGCACCACCATGCCCATCGACAGGTAGCACACGCTGCCCACGGAGCCGCTCTTCCTGTGGCGGTGGTAGGGGGGCCGCTCCTCCTGCGGACAGCAGCGCAGGTCAGTCAGCTGGGGGTCCTGCGCCCTGGAACCCCCCCCCCCCCCTTTCCGAAGTGAGACCTCGCCCTGCTGGCTGGGGGAGCCTGGGGTCAGGGGAGAGGATGGGTGATGGACGGGAAATTATCTGGAGGAAAAGGAAGCCGCGGGCGCTCCTAGCTCCTCCTGTCACAGAGGCCACAAAATGACACAGAGGCTCAGCAGGCGCATCTGGAATTCCCCTGCGTCAGGCCCCTTCATGGGGCCCGCTGTGACCACAGGGTATGCTTTCAAACACGGGAGGGGGAAGCACAGACACGGCCTCGGTCACTGTGCCAGGCCTCGTCACCTATGGGAACTGGGCGCTCTGGGCAGTGGGGAGCCAGGGAGGCTTTGGGGTGGGGAGTGACAAGATCCAGCTGAAGGCTGGAGTCCACAGGTGGACTGGAACTGCGGCCGCGGGAGGGGGCCGTGGCAGGGAGCAGCCACGGACTGATGGGGACCCGGGCTCCAGGAGGCCCACAGGGTCTGGCTGGTCTCCGTCCGGCCAGGCAGCACTGGGCTTGTCCTCGCTGAGCAGAGCTCAGCCTTCCAGGCAGTGATGGCCTCACACAGGCCTGGCTGGCAGTGCCGGGCAGGCTGTCAGGAGGCTTCTGCCAGGAGGGAACGTGGTTGTGGCAGCAGCTGCTGCCACCAGGGAGCTGGGGCAGGAGGCTCCGGTAAAACCTGCCCTGGGAGCCAGGCTGGGGCTCAGGACAGTAGCTGCAGGGCTGCCAAGCAGCAGCTAGCCAACCGGACCCAGCTGCAGGCCACACCACGTGTGCGGGCGGGTGGATGGCGGATGTGTATAATCACTTCACCTGCAGCACTGGACCTGGGTGACCTCGCTCATCCCTCTTTACGCCCGTCCTCCCTACCCCAGGCCCTCCTTCACCCTGTGAGCTGCTCTAAAGGTGCCAGGCTGGTCTCTGCCTCCAGGGCCCACCATCCAGACCCTCCTCCGTGGCGTCCAGACACAGCCAGGTGAGGGTAGAGGCCAGTGCCAAAGACTCCCGCCCCACCCCACCCTCGAGGAGCTGGGGCAATGTGGGGGGAGGGGAGGAGCTCCAGATCAGAGCCCCCAGCTCCTCACTGCCTGCTTAGCCCTCCCTCTTTGTGCCATGTTTCCTCTCTCCCTTCATCCTGGAGTGGGTGGCGGGAGGGTGGGGACACAGTTCAGGTCCTAGTTACCCAGGCCAGGCCCATATCCTTCAGCACAGGAGGTCTGGTCTGGTAGAGACGGGGCGTGGCCTGCTGTGCCCCTCAAGTCCTCTCCCCTGTGGCCCCGGTTTAGCATATGTTGGGGTGGGGGGGTGGCCCGGGCCTCGAGGAGCAGAGGAAAGTCCCATCAGAGGGGCTGTTGCTTTCCTGCTTGGGGAGGGCAAAGAAGGCCTGGAGGACCCTCCCCCTCCCTGGGCACATCCCTCGCCAGGCCAGTGGCTCCAGGCTCCAGCCTCTGCCGCCAAGGGGTGAGAGGTGCCCCTGCCCACCCTGCTCAAAGCAATGGCTCTGACTTTCCAGTGGGCTCCCAGGAGCAGCACTGGACAGGGCGACCCAAGAGCCAGGCTCTGCCAGCAGCTCAGAGGAACAAGCCGGGACCCTGCCAGCTGTGCCTCGTGCCCCTCTGGATCCACATGTGCATTCGGTGGGACCCAGCGCTGAGGCCCCAGCAGGGGCTGGGATCCGGCAGATTCTCCTCCCTGCCTCCCCACAGGGTTTTGTCCTAGGGGGTTTGTCCTGATGGGGCGTTTGTCCAGAGAGGGTTTGTGGGGAGTAAAGGAGACAAAGACCTGAAAGCCCTTGATTCAGATAAATGCTGTCATAAACAGCAGATCTTTATCAGCTCAACTTTCCCTGGTTAGGGCCGCCACTGAGACAGCTGTTGAGGCTGCAAGGGGGTCAGGCTTATGCTCCTTCAAGAAAACCAGAGAAGCAAGCTTGTGAGATCTGCTTTAACAACAGAACAAAGTGCTACACGCCAGAGCCCCAGGGCCTGCTCCACAGAGGAAGTGCCTGGTCAAGGTGAGGCCTGCGGGTTACAGCTGCCTTTCTGCTCCTGCCGGTCAGGTCAGGTGTTTCTCAGGGGCGGGCGAGGCGGCTGCAGAGGGCGGGAAGGAGCGGAGGTCAGAGAGGACAAAGGAGGGCGGAGGGAGGCGGTGAGGCCTCCGCCCACAGCTGAATGTGAGGGCGGCTAATGTGGCTGAGGACACAGCCTCCAGCCAGGACACCTGACACTGCCCTGTCCCCTCACATCTCTGTGGGGGTCAGTCACTGTGAAGATTGGGGATCCCCCCTTTTCCTAGATGTGCAGTGGGCCAATGGCTCCTTCTCCTGCCTCTGTGGACACCCACTGAGTGCACAGTGGGGGCTGAACCCCAGAAGCCTGGCGGAGCAGTGGCGGGGAGAAAAAGCAGGACCAGAGGCCGCCATGAGGCAGATGGGAAACCATGGATGTCCCTGCTTCCAGACAAAAGGCCCACACAGGAGGGAGGGCCCCCGAATCCTGCCCCAACGCTGCCATTGCTTCCCCGGCCCCTTACTACACCGTCAAGACCAAGGCTCATGGGGGAATGAGGACAAATATGTGATTCCTTAATCAATAAAGAAATTAAAAAAGAAAAAAGAAAAAAATACCAAGGCTCGAATTCCAAAGCCCTGCAGTCAGCTGGGGTCCCTGGCTGCCCAGCTCACTCAGCAGATGGCCAGCCTCACCTGCCGCGCTCCAGACCCAGGAAAACGCAGCCCCCACGTGAAGCAGTTACTACATCCAGGCATTCGGGAGCTTCCATTTAGAAAGTAGAAAAAAAAAAACTGCATACTGTTTCCATAGCAACTGGGCTTTCTGAGCCAAGTGCCAGGCTTTGTACTCTTGTGAGGCACGTGAGCCAGACCTGTGGGGACCCAGGAGAGGCCCGCCTGCTTCACTCAGCCCCACAACGGCGCTCGTTAAACGACTTCGCGAAGGCAAGGCCAAGGCAGTCAGGGGAACCGAGCCAACTGGAGCATTAACTCAGCAGACCCCCGGCTCAGGGAGAGCCGCCCAGCCACCTTCCCCTGGCGGCGAGGTCCAAAAGAACCGCACGCGGATTAAGCTACAGCTGCAGGCTGGAGGAGGAGGCTACGGGGAGCCAGCAGGCCAGGACTGCCGGCTGGTGCGAGGGGTCTCCCCTCCCCTCCTCAGCATCTTTCTTTCCTAGGCTGAAGCTCAGAGACAAGGGCAGTGTGTGTGTGTGTGTGTGTGTGTGTGTCTGTGAGAGAGAGGGGGGGGGCGGAGAGAGAGACAGAATACTGACAGGGTGTGGTGGTGAGAATGGGCAAATGCAGAGCTGTGCTCAGATGCTGACAGGGGTCATGACTTTGCCATCACTGGAACCCATTCCTATGGTGGGACCCAGCAGCACCCGGTGCGGAGGGTGAGGAGAACTGGGAGACCCTGAGGACTCCTGCACAGTCCTCCACTCCGTTTGGTGCTCGGGGTGGATTCTGCCCCATTCCCCACGGTCCGGTCCGGACGAGACCCGGAAGAGGCCTGGGAGGATGAGGCGGGCTGCTGGAGCTCTCCCGGGGAGCGAGCTCGGAGAGGCTGCGCTTCTGTGATTTTATCACATCATTTTGCTCTTTTTGTCGCTAAGAGAAACTCGTCCTCCCTGGCACGCTGCTCACAGCCTTGGAACATGCAAGGGCAGGCTGAGGGAAACGGAACAGAGAGTAGAAAGGTCTAGTGCTCTGGGAAGGCCCAGGGCAGGCCAGGAATAGGACAGCCCCATGTCCCCACTGCCATGGGGGCCGGACCCAGCGCTGGCCTGCATTTTCACGAAGGTCCTTTCAGCCCAGCCTCTGGGGCCTGTGGGAGAGGAGGACTCCACGCCTGGCCAGACCCACCCTCCAGGCTGGCAGGGACCTCCCCCCGCAACCACTCCGGGAGACCCAGCTCCCCCCTGCCAAGGGCCTGAGGCCAGGGCACAGAAGGCGAAATCCAATTCTCAGGTATGCAGGCTGGGAGGGAGCGACACAGGGGCCATTAATCAAAGGCAAAAGCCAGAGAAAATTGCAGCGCTGAGAAGATGACAGTATTGAACTTGTTCCGTTCTTCTAATAGCTCCGAAGTTGGGTCGAGTGAGGACATGTCCACATCTCCTGGCTGTGTGTGTGTGTGTGTGTGTGTGAGAGAGAGAGAGAGAGAGGGAGAGAGAATACCTAAGGCACAGAGGAACTGTGGGAGAGGGGAGGGTGCTGAGGGGTGTAGAGCTGGCCGTGTTCACTAACATGCGCATGTCCTAAAGGTGTAGGACAGATTGTAATCCTCCTCTTGGGCCTCTATTGTTCCCTTTCGCCCATAATGATATGGCCAGAAGGTACTAAGAGAGGGTGCTCCCCCGCCAGCTGCCCATCCGTGCAGGCTTCTCATTATCTCAGAGGCAAGCACCCTGTGGGGAGAGTGGTCAGCGGGAGGCCCGGCTGGGCCCCCACCCATCCCTCCGGGGCTCACCAAGGCTCTGCCTCCCAGCAGCGGGTCTGGGGACAAAATCCTCCTTGGGTCCCAGGTTTTGCCCAGAAGCAGGGGAGCCTGCCCTGAGGGCGGTGCTACCGCACCCTGGCCCGTAGGCCTGCACACAGGTGACATTTTATCACATTTACAAGCTCATCTGTGCATCCCGTGGTCCTGCCTCGGCTCTGAGTCTTACTGCTGAGTCCAGTTCAGTAACCAAGAAGGGGTCCGAGTCAGCCCCAGCCGGAGGTCACCTTCTAATAGGCTCTCCTCTGCGTCCCCACCCGAGTGGCACAAAACCCAAATGACCTGTCTTAAAGCAGCTCCTAGGGCAGCCGGCCTGTCCCACTCACCTCCCCTTCCCAGCCCTAATCAATGGCTGGTACGCTGTCCTGGGCGACATCTGTGAATGCTGGTGGGCCGTGCTCACTGCCCTGGCGCTGGATGTGAGAAATGTGCCAGCGGCCAGGAGAGGCCACCGGAGGCCGTCAGAGCTGAACTGTCCTCCCAAGACCCCAACCGCAGGAGAGCAAACAGCCAAGCCCCCGGGCATCACCTGGGGGCCTGCAGCAGCTATAACATTTCACTAATATGCACACCTGTCCTGGACAGGTGGGATTTTAATCCTCCTCCCAGGCCCTCCTTACCCCCTTCTCCGGGATTAAATGAGGCAGGGGACCCTGCCCACAAGGTCGAGGGAGGAGGCTTGCTCAGCAGGCTCAAGGCCATTACCGAGAGCACCAGGAGAAGGTGGATATTTCCTTTTCACGCTGGGTGAGGGGGAAGAGTCAGAGGCTAGATGTCAGTTACTGCCAAGGTGACGCGAGCTAGCATCTGCCACCGGCCTGCACTATCAGCAAGGTGCCTCCGAGAATGTGCCGCTCCCGCAAACCTGTGGGCCTTCTGATGGAGTTGGAGTTACATCTTTCCTTAATCTGGCCGGTCCCCCTCCTGCCCAAATCCTGCAGCTCTTAGAGACAGGGTCTTGTTTTCCAGGCCTTGGCTGGGTGCCAGGAGCTGGGAGAAGGGGCAAGAATGCTGCTTTGGGCCCCTCATCCCTGCACCGCCCTCGGCAGAGAGGAAGGGAGGAAAGAGGCTGGAAAGGTGCTCATTGGAAATTTTTAAAGCTGCAGATCAGTCTTCTAATATGGAGTTCCCCTCCCCACCTAGGCGTCCAAACAAGATGGAGCTGTTGTGGTGGGGGGCATAGCGACCCCCCAGCCCAGCCCAGGTGGTCCGTGATGCTGCGGGCTCAGGGTGCCTGCTCAGGCTGACAGCCATGGCTGAGACTCCTCTCCAGGGTCCCATCTCCCCTGCAGCCCCGGCAGATCCAGCCTGGGCGAGGTGTGTCTCAGGCCACACACTTGAGGAGGGCCTTGGCGCGGAGGGGAGGCCTCAGGACGCAGCCTCCATCAGGGGGAGGGAGCGGATAGTAACTTTCCTCCCAAGTCCTGTCTCCAGAGGCTCTGGGGGCCCTGATGCGGCCCAGGATCGTCGTGGGCGACGCTGCGAAGACGCCTTCGCCTGGCTGGACCCGCTCCCCCTTCCCTTCGCCTCCGGCCCGAGCCACCGGTCCTGCCCCCTCGGGCCTCCCCAGTCAGACTTCACCCGCTCCGTTTTCCGCCGCGGAAATGCCTCCTCTCCCAGCCCGAGGCGGGGAGGCGGGGGAGGTGGGGGGGGAAGGGAGGCGGGGGAGACGGGGGTGGGGAGGAGGTAGGGGGGAGGCAGGGGGGAGGCAGGGGGAGCCGGGGGGGGGGCAAGGGGAGCTGTGTGGGGGAGGCGGGGGAGGTGGGGGGAGCTGGGGGGGAGGGGAGCAGGGGTGGGGGAGGCAGGGGGAGCCGGGAGGGGGCAAGGGGAGCTGTGTGGGGGAGGCGGGGGAGCTGGGGGGAGCTGGGGAGGAGGGGAGGCGGGGGGGAGGCGGGGGAGGGTGCGCCGGGGGCGGGGTGCACCGGGCCCGCCCCCACAAAGCGCAGCTGAGCGGCGGTCGGACGCCCGGGCAGCGGGGAGGGGGCAGCCCGGGGAGAGCCCGGAGAGGAAGGAAGAGGGGACAGCGGGTTCGGGGATCGAGATCAGCCTAGGATCCCCGAATTCTGGACCCAGGACGTGCAGCCGGGCGGGTTCTGGTTTATTTCCATTTCATCCGGCACCCCTTCCTCCACCAGTTCAGGTGCAGGGTAGCAGCCCGTCCCCCGCCCCGGACAGACCCCCCCTCCCCTTTCCCCCTGACGGCACCAGGACCCCCCCCCCCCCCACGCCCCATTTCCCACCAACCACGACCCACCGCCCAGCTTCGGGGAAATGCTCGCCCTCCTCCCATCCCCCACCTTCCCCTTGATTGGAACCAGACGCGAACGCCAGTCCCTCCAACTGCTTGGCCCAGCCCCCTCCCTCCAGCGGGGGCTGCTCCTCGGGCCCCTGTACTTTGGGGGAGTCCTTCAGCGCTTCCCACCTGGGCGCCAGCGGCCCGGGCCCCCTCCCAAACTTGGGCGTTCGCTGCCCCCTTAGCCAGGCCCCGGGCCCCTCCCCACCGTAGGACGGATGGCATCGGCACCCCCGGGACCCTCCCGGGGCCCGGCCCCTCTCACCCGAGCCGGCGTCAGCAGGATCTCAGCGGCCGGGGCGGAGGCCGAGGCCGAGGCCGAGGCCGAAGCCTTGTCGGCCTTGTCGCCTTTGACGCCGGCCACGGCGGGCTGGAAGCTGATCTTCACCATGGCTGCGCCGCCGCGTCTGCCTGCAGCCGCTCCCGGTGCAGCCTCGCTCGGCGCAGCCGTTGCCCGCACTCCGCAGGCACCGGAAGTTTGGATCCTGCTCTCGTGCCTTCCTCTAACCCCACCCCCAGCCCGCCCCCGACAGGGGGGGCTCCTGCGCCCGCTGCGCCTGCGCCCCCTTCCTGCCCCTCAGTGCGCAGTGACCCCTGCCGGGCGTGCAGCTCCGATTGGGGGAGGACTGAGGTTCATGCCATCTATCCATCCATCCATCCATCCATCCATCCATCCATCCATCCATCCACCCATCCACCCACCCATCCATCCACCCACCCATCCATCCATCCACCCATCCATCCATCCACCCATCCATCCATCCACCCACCCACCCATCCATCCACCCACCCGCCCATCTATCCACCCACCCGCCCACCTATCCATCCATCCATCCATCCATCCACCCACCCATCCATCCACCCACCCATCCATCCATCCACCCATCCATCCATCCACCCATCCATCCATCCACCCACCCGCCCATCTATCCACCCACCCGCCCACCTATCCACCCATCCATCCATCCACCCACCCACCCAATCACGCTTGGATTCAGCCCTCTTCAAAGCCTTGTCCCTTCCAGCTCTCTTTCCAAGACCAGCCTCCCCAAACACACAATCTGTTAAAACAGTGTTTGCTAGATAAATGCAGTTCCCAAAGTATTTTTTAAATTGATATTTAGAGAGAGAAGAGAGAGGCATCGATATGAAACAGAAACATCCATCCATTGCCTTCTGCTTGTGCCCTGACTGGGGATCAAACCTGCAACCTGGGTGTGTGCTCTGACCAGGAATCCAACCAGAAACCTTGTGGTGTTCGGAGGCTGCTCCAACCAACGGAGCCGCTCAGCCAGGGCCCATCACAGCATTCGGCACCCCCGGGCCACCTCCTCCTCTGGGACCTCAGGGCTGCTGAGCAGTCAGTCCCAAGGCAGCCCGGGCAAAGGGTTCCCCTGAGTGTGGCTTTGTTCTCAGTCATTTTCAAAGCGAGGACCTTGACCAGCAGCACCGGCAGCACCAGCGACCTTGTTAGAAAGGCAAACAACCTCATTCACCCTCTTCCTGCCTCTTCCTGTCCTCTCCAGACCACCCTCTCCCCTCTCCTCAGCAGCTGAGCTCTCCTCTTCACGGAGAATCTGGAAGCCATCCTGTGAGAGCACCATAGTGCTGCCGGCCAGGCCCCCCACCAGCAGCTGCCCCTGTGGCTACTGTGGTCCCTTTTGGCCCTTCAGGTTGGAGGAGGCAGATGTCTTTGCTCTTCCCTTAGGTTCATTCCACCTTCGTGATGAAGACTGCAAACCTCCCATCATCTCAGATATCTTAAGTCCTGCCCCACCCCCAACCCGTCAGGGATGGCCCTTTACCCCAGCCTCAGCTCTCCCTTCAGTCCTATCAGATCTGGAATGTGCCTGCATTAACCGTGAAAGACAACTGAACCAAACACCTCCGTTAGCCCTTTGTCCCCTCCCCTTGGTACTCCATTCCTCTCATTTTCTCCTTAGCCAAACTTCTAGAAAATTCAGTCTCCATTTCCTCATCCCCCTCCACACTCATCCTAGTGGGATCTGGCTTCTGTCCTCATACTTCCACCTGGTTCTTAATCATCATTTTTTTTCTGTTGTTCCTAATTTGCTAATCCTCACCAGAGGATATGCTCTCCCCACTGATTTTTAGAGAGAGTGGAAGGAAGGGGGTGGGGGGCTCACAGAGAGAAACATTGATGGGAGAGAGACACATTGATTGGTTGCCTCCCACCCATGCCCCGACTGAGGCCAGGGATGGAGTTGCAACCCGGAGTTGAACCCCAAACCCTTCAGTCCACAGGCCGACTGACGCTCTAAGCACTGAACAAAACTGGCTGGGTTAATCCTCATTTTACTTGGGATGCCTTATGGCGGCTTTGCCATGCCCTCTCCTGTGACTCTGCTCCCCCACTCCCTCGCCCTGCCCATTAACCAAGTTGAGGAGGGGGATTGGCCCCAGTGGGAAGGTTTCCTGGAATCAACCCCAAATGAAACAATAGTTCATTTTAAAACTAAAACCCCAAATGTGAACTTTTACATGAGTTTACTTCTTTCTCCAAATTGAGTAGTTCAGTATTGTCCTTAAAGGATAGCTGGTTTGTGAGCATGTAAAGGCTGGTTATTGGAGACCTACGATTCTAGTTAACCTTGGATGCTCAGGGTAGGGGCTTGCTGCGGATGCAGTGACCACAGACAAAGCTATAACCACTGCCCTCAGCGTTCTGTCAGCTCCCAGAACTTAGCTCATCTTGTAACTAACATGTTTTAGCCTGTGATAACCACTATTCTACTCCCTGCTTTTCTGAGTTCAACTACTTTAGATCCCACATGTAAATGAGATAGTACAGGGTCTATCTTTCTCTGTCTGGTTTATTTCACTTTGTATGATATCCTCCAGGTTCATCCATGTTGTCACAAATGGCAAGATTTTATTCTTTTTTTTATAGCTGAATAACATCCCATTGTATCCATGCACACCACATTTTTTAAATCCGTTCATCCATGAGTGGACACCTAGGTTGCTCCATGTCTAGGCTATTGTGGCTAATGCTACAATGGCCACGGGAGTGCACATGCTTTTCCAGACACTGATCTCATTTCCTTTGGATGTAGTCTACCCAGCAGTGGAATTGCTGGGTCCTATGGTAGCTCCATTTTTCATTTCTTATACCTGATAAGTATATTGAAGAGATAGTTCCTCTGAAAAATCAGTAGAAAGAGACAAATCTCTGGAAAATCTAATTAATAATAAGGTAGAAAATATTAATATGAGAAAGAAGATATAACCACAGATAAAGTGGATATTACATGTTATAATATACTATCTATGCTCATCTAAAATAAATATGAATGTTCCAAAGTGGATGATTTTATGGAAAAGTAAAATCTAATAAAAGGGTAATATGCAAATTGACCACCACTCTGACACCAAAGATGGCTGCCCCCATGTGGTCAAAGTTCTTGCCCCCATGTGGACACAAGATGTCCACCACAAGATGACCAGCAGGGGAGGGCAGTTGGGAGGGACCAGGCCTGCAAGGGAGGGCAGTTGAGGGTGATTAATCCTGCATGGGAGGGCAGTTAGGGGTTACCAGGCCAGCAGAGGAGGGAAGTTGGGGGCAACTGAGCCTGAAGGGAAGGGCAGTTGCGGGGGGACCCAGGCCTGCAGGGGAGAGCAGTTGAGGGGGACCAGGCCTGCAGGGGAGAGCAGTTAGGGGCATGGTATATTAGAACAGTGAAGTGCTACCAAGTAGAACTTCTGAGAATAAAGACATAGCTTTCAGGTTTAAAAATCTATTGGGGGAGAAATTGCTTTGGAAAAATAATGCTTTTAAAGTAATAGCTATTCAAACTTAAAAAACATAAAGAAAATAAAACAACAGCCACTGTTAGTACTTTGTTATTTTTTCTCCAATTTTCTTTACTTTCTAAGTGAATGTGTGTGTGTGTGTGTGTGTGTGTGTGTGTGTGGTATGTATGTGTTTCACTAAACTGGGACAACAGAAAGAGAAGAGAAGAGAAGAGAAGAGAAGAGAAGAGAAGAGAAGAGAAGAGAAGGGGGGGAGGGAGAGAGAAAGAAAGAGAGAGAGAGGGAAAGAGAGAGAGATTTCAGCCAAGGATGAGCTAGGGGTGATTTTGACCTTTGGGGAATATTTGGCAATATTTGTCACAACTTGGGTTGTGGGGAGGTAGGTGCTGTTGTCCTCTAGTAGTTAGAAAACAGGGCTGCTGTGTATAGGACAGTCCCCACAACAATTATCCAGTCTAAAATGAGAAACTCTGGCTAATATCTTGCTGCTTTTTTTTTTTCCTTTTTAATTTCAGCATTTTCTCATCTGGTAGGCAGGCAGAATGCTCCCCCTCCCCCCCAAGATATGCATGGCCTCACCTTTGGAATCTGTGAATCTGTTACCTTACACTGTGGAAAGAACTTTATAGAAGCTATTAAGATTATGAACCTTAAAATAGGGAAATTATAATATTCTGGTTTTACCTAAGTGATGACGTGAGTACTTACAGGCAGAGCATGTTCTCTGGCTCGAGTGAGAGAGATGTGGCGGGAAATTCACGGAGATCTGAACCATGAGAAGGACTGGGAATGGTGTTGCTGGTATATAGATGGGGGAGGGGCAATGTGACATGCCTTTAAAACGCTAGTTACTGAAACCAAGGGTACAAGCCACACGTGCGAGACAGGTGCTGGTGAATAAGGAAAGAGGATTATTCCAGTGTCACACCTCTGAGACTATGGGGGACTCTTGTCACAAAGACCATCCTAACATCTCAGTGCGGGCAGAGATTTTTGTAAGGAGGGAGAGGGAAAGCAGAACGAAGGGATCAAGGGAAGGAGGTTGGAAAGTTCTCTATGTGCAGACCAGCACAGTCCCTTTCAGAAGCACCTCGGAACTGGTCAAATGATTGCCTGGAATGCACCATCCCGGTCTTCGTCATCCTAGTTCTATGACTGAAGATCAGCAAATCCCCCAGACGAGGATGACTGAAGGTCAGAGTCTGTATCTTCTGAAGTTAGTTCCTAGGATTCTTATACAAACATGCTGTTTACCTACAAGCTACATATTAGTCAGAGTCAGCATTTACAGAAACAATGTCAAAAGAATGGTGGGGTGGGTTACAATTCTCCACTGCTACACACTGAGAGAAACAGAAACCCCAAGAAAATGGACACCTCAGTCCTATACCACACGGAACTGAAATCTGCCCACAACGTGAATGAGCCTGGAAGTACCCTCTCCCCGCCATCTCTGCCATCCCCCGGAGCCTCCAGGCAAAGAGCCCAAGCTGGTGGGCACCTTGTTTTGGCCTTGTTAGGCAGGAACAGAGGATACAGAGCCCACCTGTAGTGCCGAGTTACAGAACTCTGCAGTAAGGAATTCATGAACATCCTATCTCCTCTCTGTCTTAATCTCCACACCGAATCCATCAGCAAGTTCCCTGGGCTCTGTCTCCACAATCTATCCAGATTGGACCGCTTTGGTCCACACCATCCTCCTGTCTTAGCTGGTCTCTCACCTGGATCTTCCCAAGGTGTCTCCAATTCCCCGCAAAGTCTGTTCTCCCTGCAGCCTCCAGAGGGCGCATTTAAAACGTCAATCAGACCATGCCCTACCTCTGCCTAAAACCTGCTGACTTCCCAGTACCTTCAGAATAGGGTAACACCCCCTCAGCCCCCACCCCCACCCCCGCCCCAACAAGCCCCACAATACGTTCACTCACAATGAGCCCTGGCCAAGGACATCTAGATCCTATCCTATCAAGTGCTGCCTGTATGCTTTCCCAGTTTTTCTGTTTGTGTGTTTATCTTCACAAAAACAGAGAAGACCCTTTGTACATTAAGAATATTTGCTTTTCCCTAGCTGGTTTGGCTCAGTGGATAGAGTGTTTGGCCTGCAGAATGAAGAGTCCCAGGTTTAATTCTGGTCAAGGGCACAACCCTGTTTGTGGGCTCGATCCCGAGTAAGGGGGATGCAGGAGGCAGCCAATCAATAGTTCTCTCTCATCATTGATGTTTCTATCTCTTTTTCCCTTCCACTCTGAAATCAATCCTATATTATGAAAGCCTAGGTGGCAGCATATGCGACATCATCACAAGATGGCCACCACAAGATGGTGAGCTATCAGGTCAGCAGGGAAGGGCAGTTGAGGGTGATCAGGCCAGCAAGGGAGGGCAGTTGGGGATGATCAGGCCGGCAGGGGAGCAGTTAGATGTCAATCAGCTGGCAGTGGAGTGGTTAGGGGGCGATCAGGCTGGTAGGCAGGTGAGCAGTTAGGAGCCAGCAGTCCCAGATTGTGAGAGGGATCCCAGATTGGAGAGAGTGCAGGCTGGGCTGAGGGACACCCCTCCATGCACAAAGTTTGTGCATCAGGCCTCTAGTAAAAATATAATTAAAAAAAAAAAGAATATTAGCTTTATTCATCAGAACTCACTGGTATTTTTTCCATTTTTATACCTGCCTTTTTGTTGCATTCATGGACTGTTTTGACATATAAATCCCTCAAAATTTCCATTATGATTTCTTCCTTGCCTGCGCACGTAGAGAGACTCTCTCCCCTTTAAACTTATATTTTCACCAGTATTTTCTCCTAGCATTGTTATAAACACAGAATATCAAAATTGTTCGTCATCACTTTTAAAGATCTTGACAATTGTAATGCATTGCCTATTCAAGACAAATTTTAGAATGATTTTCCCATTTGTCTGCAAAAGTCTTGGGATTTTTATTGGATTTACTTTAATTTGGGGAAGAGTCGGCATTCCTAACCAGAAATATGATTTTGTTTTCCCATTTACTTTCAGTTTTATGGCCCCCAATAAAGTTTTGTTTTTCTTCACGTGGGTCATAAAACTGATTCCTAGAAATTCTATATTTCTTTCTGGGGACACTGCAGGCCGAGCCTCTGTTCCTGAGGCCGGTACCTGGAGAGCGTGAGAGGCATGTTTGGGGACGGAGAACTGGAGGTGGCAGTGGGCAGCAGGAGGCCCCTCCTGCTTGTGGGAGCCCCGTGGTGCCCACGCTAAGGGTCTGCCTGCCTCTGGCTGCTTTGGGAGATTCGGAGGCGCCCCCTGGCGGCCACCTCCAGGGCTTCTGTTCTGCTAGTACCGTAATTCAATTTCATTTTAACATCACCTCCCCAGACTCCCCTTTCCTGCTAGCTGATGGAGTCACCACCTCTCTTGAAGGAAGGCAAAAGATTTTGAACATTTCAGATTCAACAAAATACAATTTGAAATGTTGACATAAAAAAAAGTTACTCTAACGCCTAATTGACTTTAAAATTTAGCAGCTACAGGTACTTATTCATCCGCTCAACACCTGCTGGAGGGTATGTTACTTGTCAGGCTGTGGGGATTCAGGGGGTGAACCCAGACAGAGAGAGCTCCTTGTGTCTTATGTTCTAGTGAAAGGAGACAAAAACCAATCAAGTAAATAAATGTGATTATTTCCAGGAATAGAGAGGGGTGGGGAGACCAGCACTGGCTAGGGACCAGGCAGACTTCTCTGCGCAGGTGCACTGAAGGGGAGATGAGGAGGGCTCAGTGTGTGAAGATGGGTGCCCTACAGATCAACCCCCTCTTGTCAAATTCTACTTTTATGTTTTTTATAGATGTAGACATTCAATCAGGAAAACAGTGAACTATATGTGTCCTTATCGCCTGTCCATTCTTTCATATTCATATATTTCTCAATGAAGTTATGTCTCACCCACAAGGTGAGGGTGAAGTTCCTGTTTGTCCACAGGGAGGAGAGGGGCTGCAGGCCCAGCAAACTGTATTTGTTTAGGGATATGGCTGTTGGCAGCTTTGGCTTGTGTGGGGGAGGCATTTCTCGTTAGATCTTAAGCTCTCTTTTGGGATGTGCTTAAAAACTTTAAAAAAATATATATTTTATTGATTTCAGGAGAGAAAGGGAGAGGGAGAGAGAGATAGGAACGTCAATGATGACATTGGGGATCAAGCCCGCAACCTAGGTATGTGGCCTGACTGGGAATCAAACCATGACCTCCTGGCTCATAGGTCGATGCTCAACCGCTGAGCCACGCCAGCTAGGTTTAAGGACATTTTTCTTTTTTCTGCTGTAATTATTGTTAGTACAGAAGAGCAAGTCTAGGAATTAATAACACCTAGTATTAGGGGCTAAATCATGCCCCATCCCCATTCATATGTTGAAGTCCTAACTGCCCAGTATCTCAGAACATGACTGTAGGTGGAGATAGGGTCTTTAAAGGGGCAATTAAGTTAAAATGAAGTCATTAGGGTGGGCTCCATCCACCATGACCGGCCACCCTCTCTAGCGGTCCTCTTGGCCTCTACCGATGTCCATTTGGAATGTCTGGGATGCAAGGTTAATTTTCAAAATATTAACATTCTTCCTCAGCAATTTTTGTCGGATGTATGAATGTTCTTTTCTCAAATTATCAAGGTTTCTTTCAGCTCATTATCATGAGCTTTTTCTTGCATTAGAAATAAGCTGGTTTCCGTGAGAGCTGAGGTTCTTTTGAAATTTTCTGACGGAATTTTGGCTTATACTCTGCGGATGTCCAGCACGGCAGCTCTCACCATCTGCTTTGAAATGATTCTCCTCTAATGTTAAAGAGCACATTGTCTCCAGATTGGACACTTGGTGAGCACTCAGTGACTGTTCTTGCTATTATCCAGGGGGGACTTGACATTATGCTGGTGCTACTGCCTCTCCCTTGGTGTTTTCCTAACTTCAGTCAAGCTTTCTCAGCTTTAAGACTTTAACTAGGAGTGTATTGATTACTTCATTTTCTTCACTAATTTAATGTATATTTGATTTCTTTGTAAGTGTTTTAAAATAACTTTTTAAAAAAAATATGTTTTTATTGATTTTAGAGAGCAAGGGAGAGAGAGAAACATTGACCGGCTGCCTCCTGCATACCTCACAATGGGGAGCATGCCCACAACCAGGGCATGTGCCCTGACTGGGAATTGAACCATGACCTCCCGGTTCATAGGTTGACGCACAACTACTGAGTCATGCCAGCCGGGCCGAACTGACAATTTTTTGATGCATGGAACCAGCTCACCCAACTGAGCCACGTGGGGCTAAGTTAAAATAACCCTTTGAGTGACATCAATCAGTTTCTTCAAAAGTCCTTCAGATGAATATTTTAGGATCTCTGTTTCTGGTGCATTCGTTACATCCAATCCTAAATTCCCATCATCCATGTTAGTGTTCTCCCAAGAAGGCCACGTAATGCGTCCTCTTTAGCAAGCAGACACATAGAAACTTGATCTGATTCCCCCCCGTTTTCTAACATTTCATTTTGTTTGATATTTTCATCACTCTCCCTTTCCCTTCTTTGCTTCTTGTGAAAGCAGCTCACACACTCATGAAGATCGTTTTCATCCAAAGCATATGTTAGCCCTGTCTAAAGTGTGTGTGTGTTTTTAATTTTAATCCTTCTGATGTATTTTGAAGGCTGTTCCAGCTGCAGGTACTAGATATTAGATACGTTTTGGTGCATCCTCTAAAAGACTGGATTCTTCTTTAATGCTAGCCATTAGCACAGCTTGTCCTGAATGTTTATATTTCTTTTTGAAGCATTCTTTTCTAAAAGCCTCTATTTTAAGCTCAAGGAAAGACTTAGTGGTTTCCAGCTCTTTGTTAATGGTCTCTGGTTTTTTAAAAAAAGATTAACTTTTTTTAGAGCAGTTTTAGATTCAGAGCAAAATTAAGGAATACAGATATTTCCCATAAACCCCTGGCCCCCATAGATGCACAGCCTCCTCCACTATTAGCATCCCCCCTGCAGAGTGGTACTTTGTTACAGTGGATAGTCACCCAAAATTCATACTTCATCTTAGGGTTCACGCTTGGTCTGTATTCTATGAGTCTGGACAAATGCATAGTGACATGCATCTATCATGTCAGAGTATTTTCACTGCCCTACAAATCCTGGTCATCCTATTAGGTGTGTAAGGTATCGCTGTTGTTTTTATTTGCATTTCTATGATTATATCTGATGTGAAGCATATTTGGTTTTGAGGCATAACAAACAAAATTTGCTGAGAGGAGGAGGTGAGCAAGAAGGCAAGAAATTGAGGGTGATTGTTGATGTAAGAAACTAGAGCTCCACCCTAGCTGGTTTGGCCCAGTGGACAGAGCATCGGCCTGCAGACTGAAGGGTCCCAGGTTCTATTCCAGTCAAGGGCATATGCCTGGGTTGTGGGCTCAATCTCCAGTAAGGGGGGTGCAGAAGGAAGCTGATCAACGAGTCTCTCATCGTTGATGTTTCTACCTCTCCCTCTCTCTTCCTCTCTGAAATCAATATTTTTAAAGAAAAAAAACTAGAGCCCTGAGCTTGGGGGCCTGGTGGGTAGGCCTCTGTGAGTTCCTTTTTGGACCTAGGACTTCTAGGCTTCTGAACATCCATATGCAGCGGTCCTGGGTAGTCCCCTCACACCCTGAAAACCTTTGGCCTTGTATTCAGTTCCATGTACTGGGTGTAATTCCTCCACCTTCCCCAAGCCATTCTTTTTAAAAAATCACTTTTGTTTCTACCATCTCTCTATATAAAAGCCCAGCAATCCTTATGATGGATGGACCAGAACGACTGGTAGCTATGATGCGCACTGACCACCAGGGGGCAGATGCTCAATGCAGGATGCTCAATACTGCCCCCTGGTGATCAGTATGTTCTCAGAAGGGAGTGAGGGGAAGCACTCAGCCAGAAGCCGTGAAGCTGTGGTGGTGGGAGCCTCTCCTGCCTCCACAGCAGTTCTAAGGAATGGTGAGCCAAGTGGTAAGGAGTGAGCAGATGGGCAGTTAGGAGCAAGTAGAAAGGCAGTTAGGAGTGAGGGGGTCTCAGATTGCGAGAGGGCACAGGCTGGGCTGAGGCCTCCCCACCCCCGACCTGAATTTTGTGCATCGGGCCTCTAGTTTCATTATAAAAAAATTTTTAAGTATACAGAAAACTGGAAGAATTTTACAGGGGAAAGTGGTATAACGGGAGAAAAGAGACCAACCTCCTGTGCAAAAAATTCCAAATAATTGATGCTGTCAAGGAGGTGGAGTCCCCCGCCATCCTGGAGTGTAGGGTGCACACAGTGGCACCTTCCTCAGCCAGGACCGTGGTGCTGTGCACCTTTAATGTGATACAGTGACAACGGCATGTGATTTGTGTGGTCCTCTTCCCAAAACCCAGTCTCATTCTGATCATGAGAAAAACACCAGACAAATCCCCGCCAATGGGGATTCTGCAATCTGCCAAACACACCAAAAGCAAGGCAAGCCTGAGAGGAGCCCATGAGGACAGGATGAGTCAATGCCGTGTGGGGTCCTTGAACAGAAAAGGACATTAGGGAAAACGAAGGAAGTCTGAATAAAGTATAGACTCCATGGGTCCATTGATTATGACAAATGTACCAAACTAAGTTAAGACGTCAACAATAGGAGAAACAGGCTGGGTTTATGGAAACTCTGTACTATCTTTTTGGTTTCTCTGCAAATCTAAAACTCTTCTAAAAAATAAAATAAAAACCCCACCACATCCTACCACCTACATCCTACTGGTCACATTTTATAATCTTTATCACACATCTGTCTCTTTTTTTAAAAAACCTCTCATGACTATCCACTCCTTTTGCTCAAAACGACACCCAGGAAGCCCTGGCACACAACACACACAGGGGCTCAGGTCCCTGGGTGTTTGTCACCTTCCTTTTACTCTCCATGAATACCCAGGCTTAGTGGCTGCTAGAAACAAGGAGCTCTACTGCCACCCAGTGGACATTTTGAAGTAAAGCGTTGCCTGCTGGACAAGCTGGAAGAGGGCCCTCTGCCGGGCTGGGCGTAGTTTCTGAGTTTAGGCTGCACATGAACCAGCCCCTTCTCCGGGTCCCCCATCCCAATTCTTACCTAGATTTGGACTTTTTCTAACTCTGCCCCAATTCCAAACTGTGCAGTAATTTTGTATTTGTCAACCTTCTCCATCTAAGTCTACTTCACGTTTCAAGAAAGTTTTTTTGGGGGGAAGGAGATAAATCATGAGGGAATTGGGCATTTTCCAGTCTTTGTGACTGTGAAGAGTAATTTCTGTGCAGAGGTGTGGCCTGTCCAGCTGCTTTTGAGAGTCTGAAGGCTTCAGCTGGCTGGACATTGGGGAATGGGGGACGGCGGCCTGGGCTTGGCCTCAGGCAGAAGCTGTGGTCACGAGAGGCCTTGCTGTGCTGGGCCACACGGTACCTGTTGTCAGCCAAGCTTTGACGCGCATGTGCTTCCCGAGGGAGGTGGGGGGCAGCGGTGCTTTGCATTCATGGCCACCTCCATGCGGCCGACCACAGGCATGGCTGCTCATGCCTCTGGGTTAGAAGAAACCCAACGAGCATGTCTAGTTTGGGTTTCCCCGGAAGTAGAGCCTGGGACAAAAGTTTGAACACCATTTATTTGGGACTTGGTCCCGGGAAGCCCTGGTACAGTGTGAGATGTGAGCCAGGGGAAGGAGTCAGGTACAAGATAGGCCATGAAACTGTTCATGTGGTGTCCTTGGAGCTGCCTGCTGGCGAGCACCCCAGCCAGGGTCCAGGACACCTGGGTGGGGGCTGCTTCTGGCCACACCAGCTTCACATCTGATGCCCTGGGCTGCAATAAGTAGCTTTCAGAGGCAGAAGAGGGTGCCAAGGGGGTGAGGTGGGGCGCTGCTAGGACCTCTTAGTGTGCTCATGGGATGGGGCTCAGCACCCAATCCCACTCATCCCTAGTGTATGCCAGTCCCAGGCGGGATGGACAGTCCAATGGCTGGGGAGAGCGCAGGACCACGCAGTCAGCTGAGCACAAGAAGGCTCAGCTGGACTGAGTGGGGCCCTCATCGCCCACATACAAGTGAGATTTTCAAAGATCTTTGGTGTGTGGAGTGTGCTGGGCAGCCACGGGGTGTGTGTGTGTGTGTGTGGGGGGAGGGGTGTAGAGTTGGGGGGGCATACAGGGGCGGGAACCAGCTGGGGAGCAGCCTTGTCTGGAAGCTTCCCCTGGGTTGGGCTGTGGCACTGTCCACTGCTCCAGCTGCGTCTCCACCAGCTGGAAGACCCAGCTACTGAAAACTAGAGCAGGAATTTGTTATTTCTATGGCACACCAAGTATTTAGGTGATAAAAATGTATTACCAAGAATGGGAGTTCTGATGAGCAAAAAAAAAAAAAAAAAAAAAGCTCATTTTGTAGAGAATATTGAAAAAGATAAAGCTTTCCCCCAAATCTCCACTGTCTTCCTGAAGTTCTACTAGATGAAAAAAATTCACACTCTCCTGCAGACACCTGGTGGTCCTGGGGAAGACCGAGATCCCCGACAGGCCAGACACCTGCCCTTGCCCGAGGACCACACAGGGACCAAACCTGGGCCAGGTCATTGTCATGCCAGCTGTGGAGCGACTCACCTTGTGCAGCCCTCAACACCATCTCTGGTCAGCATGAACTGTGGGAGAAGTCCTTGCAAGGTTGGAAGGCTTTGTCCCTATAAATTATGCCTTGGTGGTGGAGTGTGGGTTGACCAAAGTGAAGTGTTGGCAGGAGAAGCTGATGGTCCTTTCTTGTAGCTGAGGTGAGATGTGTTCGCTCTGCTCCTGAGGCTGGTTTTGGGAGCCAACCAAGATCACTTTCAGATTGTAGAGTGTGTGTTGGGGCGGGTCTTGCCTTGTCCTTCCACCTTCTGGAAACCAGGTGGCCAGAAAGGGCCAATTAGGCTCTGGAAGACGTGGTAAGGACACAGACTAGGCCAGAACACCCTCTACAAATCCAGGAGGAGCTGAAGGGGCAGCGGGTCGCGGGCCACTGTCCTCTGAGAGGCATTACTGGTAAAGTCCCAGGTGGGGTCACTCACCACTTTGGGGGGCTTTAGCCCCAGAACGCACAAACTGTGTGGTACTGCAGCCTCAGAGAGCTGTCGGTGACCTCAGGGGACCCTGACTTTTTGGAGAACACCTAGAAGAGATAACAAGTAGGATGACATCCAGACATCTTGTGTGCTTGTGCATCTTGCCGTCACCTGATAACGGGGTCCCACTCATAACAAGGGTGGGAACAAAACTGAGGGCAGGTGGTGGCTCCAGGGTCCAGGCAGCCCGAGGACACAGCTTCGTCCAGATGCCACTGAACACCGTGCTTCTGTAGTCTGTCACCTTCACGGTAGCCTCACTCTAGCTACTTATAAACACTCTTGCCCAGGGCTTTAGTTTTACCCTAGAGTATTCAGAATAAAGGGTCTCAGAAATGAAGAGAAAGGATGCTCCCAAACCATGGTGTCAAAGCGGTGCTAATAAAAGGCCTGATGACATTTAACTGGAAGGAAGGGTGAGGTAGCTGTGAGCCCTATACAGTGAGTGAAAATCACATTTGACAGCAAAAAGCAAACCCTGGGGGGGGGGGGAGGGGGGAAAGAGGCGCGTGTATGTTGTTTCTGGTTCCAGTTTGTGGCAAAGCTGTCCTCACGCTTCCTGGTGGGGCTGTTCACAGCAACACGAATGCAACGATCTGTATGACAGTGTAAACATGCACAATGCCGTTTCTCCAAAATTTTATTTTAATTTAAATTACAGGGCCAGCCATAGTCTGATAAGAAATTACTTTTCCTCAGGAGAAAGGAAATGCTCTCATGGCATTGTTAACAGGTGTATCCATCTCCACCTCTTTCTAAGGGTTAAAAATCACATGGAATAACTGACTTAAGTAAAATTAAACCTTTATAACACAAAGAGAAACACTTTCAGTATGATAGTTTTGGTAACATGAATATATTAAAGGATCATAACTTCAAATGCAATTTTTCAACTTTGAATGTTTTCACATTTTTGTTTAAAATCAAACAAAACAAAACAAAACAAAACAAAAAACCCAAATCTTAACTATGTCCCGATTCCAATGCGATGCACCACGCGGTGTTGTCTACGATGACATCACGGAGTGGAAGCTGCTTGTCGTTTCCAGTTCTAAGAACCAGCTTGGCAGGAAACCTTCCTTCCACCCGGTGCAGTCACTGCTCCCCGGAAGCCCGACACCCAGCACTGGCCACAGAGCCAGGAGCTACACGGCCAGGCCTGCCTTCCCGAGCGTCTTGGTATTTTCAAATCAAGCAGCTTGGATCACGCCCCCTACTTCCAATGGAAAAACTTGAATGATTTTACACAGATTTTGGTAAAGACAGCCTCAGGAAAACCAATGCCGACTGTCATTTAATTAAACAGAATAAAATGCATCTATATTTTCTGGAGCTATTTTCCTAACTGGTGTTCCTATTGTAGAAGGAGGTCTTGCAACCTGCTGAAGCATCACTTGGGAGTTTCTTTTTACTGGCCGAAAAATAATTCAATTAGTAAGAGAGGCTAGCAAAGAATAATCATGTAAATTTCTTAGCCACAGCCATGCTGAATTCGAACTGGCAAACTCTGATTTTAAGTTGTTAGTTGTGATCTTTGTATCACTAAGATGAACAGATACCATTCTAATAACTTTACATAGATATATCCTAGGAGACGCTGCTCTGCCGTGGTCACAGTAACAAAAAAGTGGTGCAAAATCAGTTACTTTATAAATACTGATAATTTTCAGCATTAAGGAATAGGACATTAAAAAAAAATTTCCCCACAGGACTCCTGTGACGAGGAACTCTTTTGCTAAGAGAAGCCAAAGTTTAATGATTCAGTCCCGTGACTGCTGTACTGGATTACTTACTCTAAAGAAGAAAAGGTGCTCTACTGAGGTTTCCCACACAGAGAATCAGCGTTAATTGATCATAAACAGTATCGTCCATAGATCAAGGAAACTCATTTTAAATGAATAAGGCCAGTACTATGCAGGAAAGAGGGCTGACTGAGTTCCAAGTCTATATTATACCCTATGGATGGCACCCCACTAGATAACGGAATACAAAGGATTGGTTTACTTTTGTCTTTTAATGCTGTGATACTTAAATGTTAAATCAGCATTTTCCTGTGATCTGAAGTATTTCAATTACATATGAGCATTCATTTTTTTGCAAAGATTCAATATTAGGTAATAGTTACATACTAATACAATAACATTCCTCTGCTGTACAAATTAAATCATTTAAAAGAAATGAGCATTCTAAGAATTATATACAAAAGAAACCTATAAGCACTGTTGAAATGAAATGTGAGGTGTCGTTGCTAGTTCTACTGTTTGAAAAGACCTTCCAAAAGGGAAATTAACAAATACCTTCCAACATATCCAGGTTTACGAGTCTCAAGAAAATCAAATGTCAAAAAATTCTAGAAAGCAGTGAAAAGCGTATATACATTTTCCTTATGAAGCGTCACACTTTTAAGAAGTTGCTAAGTTTCAGTATCAATTTATTCGCACGTCAACTTTAACCACCCCAAAAGCTCACATCGTGGCTACAGTTCCCCCGATTCCAAATATAGCGCTGCACGATCTTCCTGTGTGAAGGCAGACAATCTCACCAAGAATCCACGCCCAGCTCTTTAACCTAAGTGCAAACCTGCAGGTTTAATCTGACCCCATCGCGCCTTTGCCCCTCATCATACTATCACCCCTACATTTGCCCTCACGAGCCTAGCTGTGTTCAGAACTCCTACAGCAAACAGGGTCTCTGAATTCTGAAATGACACAAAGATCAAGAGAAAGTCCACGTGTGCTCTAGTGTGCAAGAAAGCAGCAGCTACGTTCTCCAAGATGGACTAAAAAAACAAAACAAGATAAAATGAAAAACCGTTCACTTAACAGCAGACTAGCATAATGTTCCTCATGAATCGGTGAGAGTGCCTGATGCTGACGAGCTAACAGCAGGTGCTGGGTTTGGATTTAATATTTTGGATGTTTATGGGGAGTTAGGCTTCTTGCTGAGCTGGTCTCTTCAAGTCCCTGATCTGTTTAACTAAATAGGTCTTCTCGTCGTTAAACTGCTCGTCCTCGGTCCTGTCGTTCTGAAACTTGCTGAGGAACTCTATGAGCTTGGTCTGGTTCTTGAGGAGGATGTCTAGGATGGGCTGTGTCTTGTTAGGGTTGGCAACAAACACCTGCCGGAGAGAAATCTGTATCAGCTACAGGAAAGAAGGAGGCAGGACACATCCAGAACTTCCCTCCCTGGACACAAAGTGAAGTCGGGATAACTCGGTCAGAGGTTTGTGCTTCAGGATATCTTATTTCACAATTTGAAAATTAAAAAAAAAGACTTACATGCTTTAGCACAAAGAGGACTAGTACTTTCCACCATGCTCTGAAACTCAGTAGTTAGTATTAAAATACAGATGTAGATTTTAGGATAAAATATGCACAAAAGGTCAACATGAATTTTGAAGATAAAAACCTCTACAGAAAGAATTAAAATATGGGTTACTCCTTAACTTTCTGATTAATAATTTTCTATGACAAAGACAAATGGCACACCTCTGCAAATAAACTTATTCTGTTCCCAAGTTGAAATGTTTACCCTGTTTCTGGTCTATTTTTCTGTTTAAATGTTGTACCACACAAACATGAAAATTAACTGAATTGTGTAACTTAGATTACCAAAGTGAGGCTAATACTATTTAGAAGTCTGTAAAGGAAATGAGACTGAAATGAGGAGGAAATTTTGCGTGTGGTTTTAGCACTCTACCTTAAAAACGTGAAAGGCCTCGAACTGGATGTTACGACTTTTGTCTCGGAGAAGATTCATCATTAATTTGAGGTTCTCGGGTTTACTGATGTATTTTGTCATAATTGTGAAGTTGTGTCGGTCTAATAATAGTTCACCGAGAAGCTGAGAAGACATTTAAAGAATCACTCTACATTATCATTAAGATTCTAAGGAAAATCAAAATCTGAAAAATAATTCACTTAATAATTATCATTATTAAGTACAGTATCATTAGTCCCCCCCTCAAAGACCGATGAAGT